TTTGATCATTGCCCTTGAAAGAAGCAGCCTTTTCCTTCCACTTGCAAAGTTCTCACATTTTTCACAACCCAGACAAGCAGTGCATGACATTTACCAAATAATCTCGCTACCGAAGTCACATTTCAGGACCTCTGCATTTTTAGCAACCTTAACTGAAGGCAAACAAATCCTTTAGCCTGATGCAAGAAAGATCTTACATGTAGACTTTTAAGTAAAACTCATTTAAAAACTAGAATAAAACTGGTTTTGTTGTTGTTGTTTCTTTTTCGTTTCTGGATTGAACTCACTCTGATTTGACTTTTTCTACTTCTCGGTCCATGGAACAGCCCTGCCTAGCTTCCTATCTGAACATTCTTATTTCCTCTCTTAAGTATTGTTTCAAGTTTGGCAAAACCCAGCATGTTTTTCAGTCGTCTACAAAACGGACAGATGATCATTAAGCTGAAAAACCAGACCATTTGCACCTGGCAAATTTCTCTGTCACTGATCAGCTATCAAAAGCCATGAGAAGATTACAAGTTAAAATTTTTTGCAATAATATATATACATTTACTTTCTATTTCATTTTCCATGGAAACTTCTGAAATCTCCTCATATATGATGTAATTGATTTCCCAAAACAAAGGGAAGCGTTCAATTTTCTAATAGACTACTGGTCTGCTGGTGAAAGAATATTTTGTGGGTAAAATTCACATGTAACATTTGTTTTGTGAATCTAATGAAACCAAATAAGAGAGACGCAAATGCAACACCAACTGATCCTCATCTGAATTACCCCACAAATCGCTCCAGCAGTCTTTGATTCTGCTACTGTGGCTTTAAATATATCCCAAATGAGATGCGATGTTCACCTGTCATTTGCATCACAGATGACCAGAAAATGTGTTCTGAAGTAAATGTTGTTAACAATATTAAAAAAAAAAAAACATGTAACATCTGTTTAAGCATAGCTGAACCCGCCCCCAATCCACCCTCACATAGTCACATGCCTGACAGAGGTGGCCAGCACCCTGAGGGGCAGAGCCCTGCCTGCGCCCTGGTGGTTGCTCTCAGCCCTGACTGACAATGGCTGCTCTCTCCAGCATGGCTGTCAGAACCGTTAGTCCTGCGTCAATCTCCAACGATGCGCAAAAGTGTCAGGCATGGGGAAAAGGTGGAAATACTTTTGTGCAGAGCAAAGGTGAAAATACACACGTTCCTGTTTCCTTGATCGCAGTATTCCCACCAATCCACGAGGCAGCTGACTGTAAGATGCAAAATGCACTGTATCTGATGAACCACCAAATTGGAGAAAATGTTTCCCATTGGCCTGTGTTACAGTGTCAGGTATAAAATACACCCTTAGGTGACATATTCTAGCACAGCGTTGCGGGCATTTTTGCATTTCTCAGCCTCTTACTTTGTAAGTGCTCTCTCTTGCTCAACCTCCAGGTACACATACGCACCGGGGCCTTTCCTTTCCCTTGCTTTACATTCAGTAAACCTGAACCACCTTCTGGATTTCATACAGTCTCCTCCTCATCATCGCTGAACCACAAGACAGGACTATTAATCCTTTTGATTTCTTCTTCCCATATCATACCTCGCTCTGGATTAAACTCAGGTCTCCATAGAAACAGCCATAAGCAACGAACCTCAACTTGACACATTAAGTACATTCAATTCCATCTTCAAAGACAATTGCCCTCTCAGAGGCCAATGATATTGCTGGGCGCCCAGCCACTAACTTCTTGACTGACCTGCCTTCTGTTCTTTCTTGTAGTCACCCTCTCCCAATCACTCCTGTCCTTTCTGACCTCACACTACCATTGGTCTCCTCTCGCCTGCCCTCCGACCTCTTCCTTCACCTACATGCTGATGGTTCCAGCCAAGAATCTCAGTGTTCCCCCCCTAGCAGCTAGATTCATATATCCAAACGATCTTGACCTAGAGGAGAGAACAAACCCCACACCGTGTTCTTTTCGGGTGTGGTCAAAGTGATATCAGACCAAGTCATCAGGGTTAGAAAATGCAGAGTCTTTGCTGACTGCCACTTTACACCTAACATCCCAACCAGACATCAGTTTCTTGTTCTACTTCACTCCCACGACTGCTATCTTAAGCCGAATTCTAACGACTGTCAAATCAGCTATGGCCATGACCTCACTAGGCACACACTCCTTCGCCCTGTTCAGGTCACCTTCCACCTGCATTACCTAATGATCAACTTGTGCCGAAGGAGGGCACACCTATCGGAGAGAGACATGAGCAAGCAAAGGTCTCTTCACCAGCCGGTTTTTTTCCACTCTACTAAGTGGGTGGAGCGAGAAGTGAGCAGAGGACAAAGGAAGCCCAAGAGCAAGCGAACAAAAAATAGCTCTTCGTGCAGCCCTGGATCTAACCCAGGCTTTGCAGCCAGAGACAAAAGGTGAGGAACACAGGGTGCGGCCAAGGATGGAACGCAGAAAGCCTGCCTGGCATTTCTGAACAGGAAAGCAGTGCAAAGTGTCCCAAGCACGTGATGAGACGGGCAGATTCAGAGCTGAAACCCCTAAGAAAAGGATGCAACTTACACATACCAGCACGAGGTAGAAATACTATCTGTACACAATGGCCACTGAGAATGAATTACTATCTGTACTCAATTCCCACCTGCTCAGCATGTTTTTTTTTTTTTAATCAAACGTTAACTTTTAGAACCAAATGGTTACCATGACGCTGTTTGCGGTATTTCTGGGGGGAATTACTTCTTAGGAATTTAAGCATATGACTAGCACAGGATCGTATCTGACCAAATTCCAACCATAAACTTACTGTTCCTGTATCTTACAGTCAGGGTAATTTCTTTCTTAGAATCTTCTGTCTTGCTGGAAAATATTCTAAAGCAATTATTTTTCCAGGAAAGTTTTAAGGGGTATAAACTTCCTGAGTTGTTACATTTCTACAAGCAAAATGTTTTTCACTGTGCACTGGCCTGCGAACGTTACTTTTGCAGAATCTAAATTTCCAGAATGAAAATGATTTGCCCTGAAGTCGGGGTAAAGCTTTTGCTTCATTTTCTTTTATTATTTATTATAGATGATAAGTCTATGCTGATGTGATTTGTGCTCTTTTGTGGCCTTTTCACTTTAATTTCTGGAAATATATATATATATATATATATATGATATATATAAGAGAGAGAGAGAGCTGCAGAGACACAGAGAGAGGGCCCTAAGATGCTCTTTTCAATCTGAAGACAAGTATATTTCCTCAGTTGTTCAGTGTACAAGCAACTTTGCCCTAAAAGAAAATTACTATTTCCTCCCCTTATTCAGTCATGCCTTATTTTCTTTTTATACACTTAAAAATGTTTTCTAGCTTTTTTAGTGCAGATTGACTATTTAGCCACGTGGATACTAATATTCATTCCTCCTGCTAAATGTGTTTTTTTGCCAATTATTTTTAATTTCCAGAACACATTTATAACTAGTGAATGTTTTTCTTTCGGAACAGGCTGTTTGGATAAGGTATCAGCCCTCAGGTCTCCTGGAAGATATTTTTTAAATATATCATTATATTCTGTTCCTTACATGATTTTCGTTACCTCTGAAGTTGGTCCTAACTGTTATTCATCTCGGTGCATCCCTCTGAAATCACAGCGTTCCCTAAATATGTGATGATCCTGATTATTCATAATCTACATAGAGGTCTGTACCGACTGAGTCAATTAGCCAATTAAGAATCAGCCTTTAAGGATGTGTACTGATCTTTCACCAAGAAATTTCCTGTCCCCAGAGTACATCAGTTAGATCTGCATTTCTAGAAGTTTCTTGGGTGCCAGTGTTATGGTACAGGACGTTACATCACCACTTGCAATGGTCACCTCCCATACCAAAGTGCCAGCTTGAATCCCAGCCACTCCACTTCCAATCTGGTTCCTTGCTAACGTGCCTGGCTCCTAGCTTCAGACTGGCTCAGTCCCAGCTTTTGCGGCCATTTGGGAAATGAATCAGTGGATGAATATCTCTATCTCTATTTCTCTCCTTCTCTATCACTCTTCCTTTCAAATACATAAGATGAATTTTAAAATTTCCTTTAAACTGGTAGTATGGATCACATTAAGTATCTATTTCCCCAAATTGTTTTTCTTTTGCTTATGAGATTTATCTACATTGGTGAATAGACTGCTAAAATACATTCGTTTTCACTGCTGCCTTGTATTCTCATGTGTAGATTTCCATCCTATTGTGCCTGTTCCTATAGGCCAACATTTGAGAGCTTTATACATAAAATACGGTTCAACTAAGAAGTCTGTAATAGGCCTCTTCTACTCTGACCACATATCTCGATCCACTGATCACAAAACATTACATAGGATAATATCTAGAGTTATGCTGTGTTCATTAGGTAATATAATCCTTTAGACAGAAATTTTTATGAGAGACCGCTTTAGTTTCTCGAAAGCAATCTCTAAACCCACAGGAAAAAATACATATATATATATATCAGACACGTGCTGCAAAAGAAACACTCTGCAAAGAAATGTTGTAGATGAAACAATAGAATTTACAATGACAGACACTTCTAGAGTAAAGAATTTGTTCACAGATGACCAATGAGATTCAGTGACACCACGTGAGCTTTTCAAAGCCATACTGAAGTCAGTGGCCTCTCATTGCAGCTGCGGCGAAGGTGTGAAGCACGCATGCTCAGCGAGCAAAGGCGCCAGCACGCATGCTCACTCTCTGAGAGGCGCTTGTGACGCAAGAGATGCGCGCGCAACTCTTCTCCACCCTGGCAGTCGTCATCTCATTGGCACTGACCTGGTAGAACTTGGTAGAACTTGGCAAGCGCTGCCCCCTAACTGCAGGTTCGTGGGGCAGTACTTGAGACATGCAAGGAAAAGGCACGGCTTGGAAACGACCAGAGCATAAGTACCGCAGCACCCATTTGCACCAGATGCATCCGGGCGTAGTAAGTGATCCCGGTGACATGACTGAACACGGTACGAGGGATTCGGGGGCAGGTTGACTTCCTACCTTAGCGTTCTGGATGCATGGACAGAGGGCCCACGCTGCACTGGCCTTCACATCCGCGTGAGGATTTTTCAGCAGGGACCACAACAAGCGGACTCCATCTAAGCGATCAATTATTCTATCGTGAAACCAAAAGCAGTGGTATAAACTTTCATCACTAAGTGCAAATGAAAACTTGCAAATAGCCCACCTACTCACAATTCTAATTTACTTTTCTCCTTTTAACATTTTGCCTGTTTTTTTTTTTTTTTTTCTTTTTGCAACAACACCAGGGTGATCACATGCCGTTGAATTGTCAGCCCTCTGATTTCGGTTTTGAACTCATGACACAGAAAGCAAGCTGCATGATAATTACGACTCACACGAACTTAAGATCAAACCACGTAATTTTTAAATGGGCTGTACACAGACTGTTACCTAAATGTAAAAAATACTGGTTTCTTTCATATAATCATATCTAAATACTTTCCAAAACAAATATTTGTGGCCTCAAAACTGTGCAGTTACCTTTATTTGGTCTATGCTTAATTGACTTACCTTACTGTATGACATATTTTCTACTCTTTCAACCCTAATCTAGCATTGGGAATGAAAATCCTTACACCACAGTGCACCCTTTGTTGGGCACGAATAACACCTAACTTGTTTTCCATGTGTTCCCTTCCCAGCAAGACTCACGCTACAGACTGTTATAATTACTTAAACACACTGTCATCAAAATATCTTCAGAGCTAGCTGAAAAATGAATTATCATCAGAATCATCTCTCTGCCATCTGTCTTCTGTTTATACATCCATCAGCCTGGGGCATAACCTCACAGCAAGGTCCACCGAGAACTTACAGTTGAGAAGGAAGCCAAGCCAAACTCCCTATCCTTTACAAACAAGGCTTTATTCACAAAGACACATTCAGTTCAACTCAGATGAGAAAACAGATAAAGGACATCAAGCCTCCTCTGATTGTTAATCTCAAGTCGAATTTAAATACGTGCAATATTTAGTCGTGCACAGAAGAAATATGACTGGCTTGAAATGCCTTTCAAATGGACATAGCAATGTCTACATTCCTTGATTATCTGAGATGAGTTTTCCAGGACGGGGGGGAAAAAACCCAGTATTTCAAAGTTTCCAAATAAGGTATCGGTTCCACATGACCATAAGGTGATGAAAATAACCTATAGTAACACATAAACTGCCTCTTTCATTAAAAAAAAAGAAGATTGAGAAAATATTTTAAACCAAACTTTAATCTTAGGATAACTCTTCATGCTTCGAGCGTTCTGTTAGTATCATGCAGCAAGGGGGAACACAGCTTTATTTCTCGATTGAGAGAATATGTCAAGAATTACCCAGGGTACTGCGTAATGAAGGACTTCTTAAAATGTAAGTGGAGTGGTCCATGCTGTGGCACTTAGGTAAAGCCCTACCTGCAAGGCTGGCATCCCATATGAGTGATGCCAATCCAGCCACGTCTTAAAGCATCTGGGAATGCAGCAGCAGATGACACCCACGTAGGGGACCCCGTGGAGATTCTGGCTGTTGGCTTTGCTGTGCCCCACCCTTGGATGTTGCAGCCATTGGGGAAGTAAACCATCAGGTAGGAAAATCTTTCTCCCTTGCCTCCTCACTCTTTGAAATAAATAAATCTTTTGAAAACAATAAAATTTCAAAGAAAAGCCTTGGGAGCTGAGTGGGGCGGGGCAGCATTGGGCATGTCTGAGGAAGTGGGGCTGCCTGGTGGAGTTGGCGTGGAGTGTCGGTGCAGATCTCTCGACCGCGTGGAAGGTTTCCATTGAGATCACATGGACAGCTGACCCGCCTGACAAAGCACTTCAGTGTCCCCTGAGAGTTCTCGTTTCACAGCAATCTTAAAGTTTGCAGCAGAACAATGTCAAGTTCCGGAAGCAACAGATGAAGTTATTGCATATGATTTTTAACTTGAGATCGAAGAACAAAACATGTTGCATATCTTGTGTGTGTTTACACCTTTGTTCCAGTGGTAATCTTACAGGATCCAGGCTGGTAATGGTGAGAATCAATGAATTCCTTTGTTAAGGGATGCTTTCCTTTCGCAGTTTCTTTTAGTTCAACATTAAGGAAGCATGGCCTTGCTGAGGGTAACATTTCTAAAAAAATCCAGGAAGCATGTTGTCAATAGATCTGAAATTTACAACAGTTAAAGGAAGTGCTATGAGTTAACACTTTCGCTTTTGAGAAGGCACTAAAATGAAGAAACAGCCAGGAAAGGGAGAATGGAGAAGCCCTAGGCAAGGAGGAAAGCGAGGCAGCTGAGCAGCGGAGGGGAACAGACAGCTAGGGACTTGAAGTTCCATAGAAAAGGCCCCTTGAATAGATCAGCTGGTGGGGGAGGTATGTTGGGCAGAACGGAAAGGGCAATCAGACTACCTGACAAAGACACGCACTTGCACCTAGGCAGCGAGAGAAAATGATGCAGAGGCCTTGTCAACCGACAAGACAATGCAAAGAATGGACAATGTACAGAGTGGCAAGCAGAGGGATTTTTATTTGCCATTCTAGACGCATTCGGTGTCTGTGGAAAGATTGTTGGTGATTTAGAATCCCCACGTGGTTAGCTCTGTTCTGAATGATCCACTCACTGGGTCCTCTATGGTGCTGGAAATGATACTCACTGAGTTACCCATAAACAAAGTCTAAGATGGATTTTTATCTTAGGTTTCATTTAGCTTCCCTAGAGCAGGTTCTTGGTTCACCAAGAAAAGATAAACGAAGAAATAAATAAAATGAAACAGAATGTATAGTGATAACACTAATTAAGATTAAGAAATTTCCAGGGCCCGGTACAGTAGTCTAGCAGCTAAAGTCCTTGCCTTGCAACAGCCTGGATCCCTGTGAAAGCACTGATTTATATTCCGGCTAATCCACTTCCTGTTTGACTCCCTGCATGTGGCCTAAGCAGGTATGCAAGGACAGTCCAAGACCTGGGGACCCTGCACCCACGTGGGAGGCTCCTGGCTTTAGATCAGCTTAGTTTCGGCTGTTGCAGCCACTTGGGGGAGAGAACCAGCAGATGGAAGATCGTTTCTCTGTCCCTCCTTTTCTCTGTAATTTTGACTTTCCAATAAAAAAAAAAATAAAATCTGTAAATAAATTTTCCAGATCTTGTTCATAAAATTGACAAATAAGCAGCATGTTTCTGGGTTACCAGAGAAAACCCTGTTGAGGTAAAAAGAATGTTAAAGGGAAATTTATCTGATGCTCAAAGGCACTTGTTCCTTATAAAACTAAGTCTCAGTTAACCATAAATTTGTGAATACTATTTCCCCAAATTTTGTAATTTGAGTATTTCCTGATATGTTTGTAGCATAAAAATCTGCTTACTGTGTTGCATAAATAAGTTTATATTGTCATGTGCCATAAAAGCATTTAGTTAATACCTTTGTTCCATGGTTTTGAAAAGTATATATTGTGGTAAGCCCTGAAAAACGTATTATTGAACAACTAAATATTTTATTATTGAATACAGAGGTCTTTAAATTCTTTATGTAGAGTTTTTCAAGTTTTGTATTTATTTTGGACACATCAATGGCCGCAAATTACTATGTTATAAAATATTGTTATGCAATATTTTAAAAGGCCTTACTGCCCTACGTTATTGAAAAGACAATGAGGGGTCTGTGCTGCTGTGCAATGGGCTAAGCTGCCATCTGCAGCCCTGGCTAGTTCAAGAGCCAGCTGTCTAATTAAGAGCCTGCTCCCTGCTAATGCACCTAGGAAAGCAACATAAGATGGCTCAGGTTCATGGGCCCTTGCATCCATGTGGGTGATCCCAAAAAAGCAGATGAAAGGTGTCTCTGTCTCTTTCTTTCTATAACTCTGATTTCACATAAATCAAGAAGTCAATGAATCATCCCTGCTGTCTGTGCTTCTTCACACAAAAGCGCACAATGACCAACCGAGGAACAGCCTGCCCCACTTTCCCAAAGGTGTAGCAGCAAATGTTACAGTCACATTTGACTCTATGCTGCCTGTCATTTGGCTCACATGCATTTCTAGTTTGCAAGTAATTCAGTGCCATCGCAGACAAAATTTCATCACAAGCCATAAAAGTTCTCCATTAGTTACAAAACGGGATGTACCACCCAACCCTAGTCCTAGGGGAGTGTTGCCCCGTTACTGCCGTCTTAAAGGAAGGCTCAGTAAAGTACAGGATGGTGACTGTTACTGAAATGACTTTGCAAACACAGACCCTAAAGGGGCAAAGCATTTCACTGCATCCTCCGCACGAGATCACGGGCTGCTTTATTCTCCACAGTAACTCGAAGGCAGTCCCCACTTCCTCATCCCCCAGGCTAGCACCCCAATCTTACCCTCGACCACATCCCATCAGGAATGCTGCGGTGCTGCAGAACTGGGTTTTTTTTTGGGGGGGGGGGTTGTTTTTTCACTTCAGTGTCCCTCATTTTCAATCCATCCCGCAAGTCCCTGGGAAATTGATTTTCCCAATGAGACCTTAGAGTTCCCATAGTAGCTGCTTGATAGCAGTGAAGCAAACGACACTTGAACAATTCTCAACCCAACTGTCACTCCTGGGAGTGGGAGGCGGGGAAGGTCTCCCATCACTTCCCATCATCTGCATGATATGAAAACACGAATTCCTGAGCCCAATATTGAAAATGTTCAGGGAGCTGGGTCACTCTTTGCAATTTCCTACATTCAAGTATTTTATAAAAATACTTCGATAATCTGCTAAGCATTAACCACCAGGTACAGAGAAACGACCAATAGTTAAAACTCACGAAGTTCTGTGCATTCTCTGCAAATACAAAAGGAGAAAATACTGCACCAGGGAAACTCTTCATATGAAGAATTTCCAAGGAATTCATGAATGGCTGGTATTGTGGTACAGAGAGCTAAGCTCCTACCTGCAATGTTGGCATCCTGTTCAAGCCCTTCTACATGTTTTATTTCCACTCCAGCCCCTACAAGTGCACCTGGGAAGGCAGTGGAAGACAGCCCAAGTGCTTGAGCCCCTGCACTCATGTGGGAGACCTAGAGTCGGCCTGGTCCAACCCCAGTCAGGGCAGCCACATGAGAAGTGAGCCAGTGGATGGAAAGACCTGTTTGTCTCTTCCTCATC